TTGCCATACATACACACGAAGCCTCAAAGAAGAGATGCTGGTCATGAATCCTGGGTTTGAACCTAGCTCCCGTATCAAACTCAGTTTGGTGCCCATCACACTTTCTGCTCTTCTATTTGTTCACTCACTAATCGATCATCGATCCAAGTTACAGTCCACATGTTGCCATTTAACAGGAGCAAGCACACACTGTTTAAAAATCAGCATTTGATTCTGCAAAAGCTGAACTCTGAAACCCACAGAAGTTATACACTCCTGTTTGGGCTTTCTACTCTGCACATACACAAGAATCCCTACTTTAACAATAACAACAAAAATTACATTTTCTCTCTACTCTGTCCTTGCAGCTCATCAGCCTTTCTAGCCGTAATAGCTAGGAGCATGCCTTCATTTTCAGAAACAAAAAATCACATTTCTCAAAATGCCAAATTTGGCACTCAGTAGTCCCTTCTGAGGGCCATGCTCATGAGCATTCAATGAAAGGATAAGAAAAGAACCACAATTTGCCATCCTCATCTCGAATATGTTATCATATTTAAAAGTTCTGCCAGCGTGTTAGGAAGCCTACTAGCAGGACTTCTGAAAATGGTCTTTAGAAGCATTTTTGTACAAACCCCCTCTTCGGTCAAATTTTCACTCACTTTACTGCGATCTTGACAGGAGAAGATCGAATGGACTTACGCAATAAGGAGATAGATTGCTGCCATTAGACTACTGTGCCCGACACAGCCACAAGTTTTCCTTTCTTCTTGCTGACATTTGGTTTCAATGTACAAAATCTATCCATTATTTCCTCACATTGGCACAGCACATTTGGGCAAAGATCTGAAAGTGTTACAGAAGTAGGAGTCGTTGCGTTTTAAGACAAGACAAAAAAAAACACGCTGAAGTCTCTGGGGCCCTCGGAATCAAGCGATTAGAATATGGGGCTACGCGAGACTCCTAGATTCAATTACAAAAATTTGGAGGACAAATCAGGCTGCGAATAACCGCCCGATCCAGCAAAAAAGGAAACAGCTCAAGATGCAGGAGGAGGAGGAGGAGGAGGAGGAGGTGGTGGTGGTGGTGGTTTGTATTTTTAGCATTCATGAAATATTCACTGACTGAGTTGTGTGTTGCCAAGCTGAGGCAAAGGCGACCCTGCACAAGCTATTTATAGCTGACTTCTGTTTCATGCCCATAGCACAATTCAATGTGGATGTACAAAAAACATGCCCAAAGGATGCCCCCCCCCCCACCATTTGACTATGTAGTTGCAGGGCTATTCACCTGAGCGTGCAGACTTTTTCTAAGATACCCCTCGTTCCTTATGATCCCACCCCTCGCAACATCTCTGCTCCTTTGCAGTTCTGGTCCACCAGTGGAAGAGCAGCAAGGTCCCATCTGGCACAGGTGCTCTAAGGGCAGTGGAGCCTATAGAGGAGGGGCTGGCAGAGGCAAGAGGCAATAGCACTTCAGTCCATTGTTGGACTGGACTGGGGAAAACTGTAGGGCGCACACATCCAGCCAAGGGGAGCGCCAGGAAAGCCATCTGACAGGACAGCATGTTTTGTTTGTGACTCAGTTTCTCAAACGATTTCCTGAATCCAATATTTTCTCATGCCCAAAGTAAAAAGTTGGCTGCTGACTTCACATCCATTTTCATGCATCGGTCTTGGGCAGGAAATGGTTTCCTTTGGAGCACAATGCTAACCACAAACCAAGGGAACTCTAAAAACTTTTCTAGTGAGCACTCCACACACACACACACACACACACACACACAAACCCACATTTCTCCTGGCTCTTTCATGCTTGATAGGAAGAAAAATATCCCTAAAATGGCATCGCCTTCACCTTGTAAACAGCTTAGGTTCTCCTCCTCTACCGACTTGATGCTGGAAGCATTATGGCTGCTAAACCTGATTTCCTCAGTTTCTGAACCTGTAAAATTCCTGTTTTTGTTAATAAGAGGAATAGTTCGCAATGGAGCAGTCCATTTTGGACAGTCCATTGATTCAGGTCAAGTATTTTGTAATTGTACCACCCAAGTGTGTGGAATATGGCATGAACTGAAACTAAATTTAATAAATTGAAAAAAAGAGTGAAAAGCAGCTTCTAATCCTGCCAGCACTTTTGTGTAATTTTGAGTGACAGCACAGAATTGACCGGTTAAGAAAAGGAAGGACGACTATTCAGCAGGAAGGATTTACTTTGGTTAGGAAATGGGACTTGTCAGTCTCTCACAACAGCAGAGAACTGTTGAAAGCCAAGAATCTATTGAAGATCAAAGTGCCCACCATTTCCTGATGATCATTCAAAGTCATCAATCGGCCTTAAATCTGTTTAAACTGCAGTACTCCAGAAAGGAAAACTCCGGGCAGGGAGGGGTGTGTGGAACAAAAGCAAATAAAATCTGCAGAATATCTGCAACTTTGTAAAAAGGTAAACCCCTCTAGGGAGCTGCTTCCCTACAAGTCAAGATGTTTGCACACAAATGGGAGATTAGGCCTGTATCAGGTTTTTAATATGAATGCAAAACCTACATTAGCCATGCTATACTCATTCCAAAACGTGTACTTTTCTCATCCGGCCTCATCAGAATCATGTGAAAATAACGACATCAATCCAAATGCTTCAGAAACCAAAATCCCGTATCCTGAAAAACAGATGCTCATCACAAGAACACAGTGACCTAACAGAAGTCACTGCATCAATAACACTAAACAACTATCAAAAACAGCTTATTCATCCCAGCAGAACCATTTGAGAGATAGGTCTCCCTAAACATTCTCTTCAGAGTATATGGGCAATAGGTTCCCCCTTGCACTGTGACATCGACCACACACCCATCTAAGCTACATATTTGAATGCCAAACGAGACTATTTTTCTAAGAAGTCTGTGATAAGAGAGGGCAGCAGAAATTGAGCAGATTTATCTAACGAAGAGAAAGACGAGGGGGGACATGATAGCGGTGTTCCAATATCTCAGGGGCTGCCACAAAGAAGAGGGAGTCAGGCTATTCTCCAAAGCGCCTGAAGGCAGGACAAGAAGCAACAGCTGGAAACTAACCAAAGAGAAAAGCAACCTAGAACTAAGGAGAAACTTCCTGACAGTTAGCACAATTAACCAGTGGAACAACCTGCCTCCAGAATTTTTGAATGCTCCAACACTGGAAGTTTTTAAGAAGAGACTGGACAGCCATTTGTCCGAAATGGTATAGGGTTTCCTGCCTGAGCAGGGGGTTGGACTAGATGACCTCCAAGGTCCCTTCCAACTTTATCATTATTATTATTATTACAGCCCTGTTCATATAAGGCAGCGGTTCTCAACCTATGGGTCGCGACCCCATTTGGGGTCGATCGACCATTTCACGGGGGTCGCCAAGCAAGACTGTCCGCCATTTTCTTCCCCTTTTCCGGCGGGTGCCTTACCTCCCTTGAGCTGGGCCAGTTGGTGGTCGGCCTGCTCCGTCTCTGCTGCTTGCCAGCTACGCCTCGGCCGGCGCAGGGGGCGGACCCACGCATGCGTGGTGCTCCCGGGCAGGGAAAGTCCTCGACTTACGACCGGCTGGGTAGTCCTCAACTTACGACCGGTTTAGTCCTCGACTTACGACCGGTTGGGGGGTCGCGGCATTAAAAAGGTTGAGAACCACTGATATAAGGGTATCCAGGCAGTCTGGCCCAGTGATCAAACTTGCAGAGTTTCATCACACACTTTCCAATGATCTTGTGGAATGAACAGTTACCATACGAAAGACATAACTACTGGACGTCATTTCCTAGGGAAGTTCTAAGGTTCAAAAATTCTACGGAACTGACTGCTCTCCCAAGTTTGCCACAGCACTATAAAGGTTAGACATTTAAAAAAATAAAATAAAACCTGTGGGTGGTAAACAACAGAATCAGAGTATATAGATCGGCAGGATGGGTTCCCTTTTTCCCAAGCAGCTTTTTTCCCCCGTCATTAAATGCTTTAAAAACTTAAAGCATTCTGAAAAAAGTCAAAGGAAATAATGGGTTAAGGACTTAGCTAAATATATGTCTTGGAACCACCAAATGCTATTTGGATATCAAGCTACGGCCAGGCCATACAAGCAAACAAGGGAAGTACTGTATTAACATCTGAGTCCGCTCCTCCCTTTATATTGCCGGATGGTTGAGCGGGAGCAGCTCCTTTTCTCCTCCGTCTGGGTCTTTGATGACCTAACATGTTTTGATAGCAGACGCTGCAGCCCTTGTCACCGCTGCCAAAGCAGGTCCCTCACCACTTGGCATCATCAAGAACACATTAAGACACAACACAAAAAAATCCCTTTTGTGGGCCAAGTCTGGCGTGGAAGCAACATCCGATGAATTAAACCATCTGAACCATTTATTGTCTTCTCGAGTCTACAGGCTTCTTTCCACCTCTCCTGGTTTACTCAGAAATAAAAGTCTTTTGGAGATTGGTTGGACATGGGCTCTATTCTGGTACCAGTACTCAAGCACTGATTCTAGAAATCTCTTTCAATAAATGGGGATGTTGGCAGAGGAAGACGGTATTCAAGGTGAAGCGAGTATAGTTAAGGTTGCTCTCCAAGGTCCTTTTTTCCCCCCACCCAGATTTATCCAATATTATACACTCAATTCCAGATTTTTTTTCTTTGCAGTCATAATCTTTTGAGTTTAAACGTGCCAGATTCTTGCTTAATTAACTGGAGAGAAAGTGGAGGGAATGAAGTATTCTTGATCCTGCATTTTTATTGTGAATTTCAGTGTTTTTATGTGTTTATATCCCTAATATTGCATCAGTTCTGTGCCCAAGAGATAGAGTAAAACAATGCTTGCTCCATTTGATCCCTTGGAAGTGGACTCCTTCTTCCTTACACTTTAATTCTTTTAACATTCACTTTTTAATTTCTTGGGATCTTATCATTTTTAGAATATGATCTAAGGATTCACAATGTGGTTCTAGGGACTTCATAGGATACAATCCAAAAATGGAACAAGAAGGCCTTCACAGAAGCTCAGCCAGGCTGATATTAGACAGGCAACATCACCTTTGCTTTCAGCTCCACTCCCCCTTTCTCCTTCAACCTCAAATTTCTGGTTGCTCCCAAACTGGATCCCTCTTGAAGACTACAGTTCTCACCAATGCGGCTGTCCATCACATAGGTCTCAATTATGGCACTCTTCCTGCATAGGTCCTCAGCCATGGAGGCACTACTGACTTCAAGGTGCTTCACCTAGCAGAGAAAGATTGCATTATTTGTTACTGCCAAGCCACAAGACCAATGCTATTCTTAGACCTGGGAACCATCTAGCTTCAAATGATGTCTCTTAAATGTGGCAGACCAGTCTCTTTTTCCAATTTGCTCTCTTCAACCCAGACCTTCTCCCAGAATTTGTCCCTCTCTCTGACTGATTCCCCCAAAGTTGAGAATTGGCATCTGTACTGACATCCTATCAGAATCAGTTCCCCAGCCAGAGCCCCAAAAGTCAAGGTCAGCCAACACTATCAAGATTAGAAGCAAAGCCCCAGTCGGTGGACTCCTACATGGGTCCTTGGGAAGGCATGCCAAGGCCACTCTGTGCCTGGATGGTCTATACCAGGGGTAGGCAACCTTGGCTCTTTTATGACTCGTGGACTTCAACTCCCAGAATTCCTGAGCCAGCTGGGAGTTGAAGTCCACGAGTCATAAAAGAGCCAAGGTTGCCTACCCCTGCTCTATACTGTGGGAAATCCAGGAAATACCGAATGGCCCAGGCTCTCACAAAATCCAAACCTAAAACCCAGATGATTTTATACCTTCTCCTCCAACAGCCACTTCTCCTGCTGAACTTCTGCCAGCCGCTGGAACAGTTCTGAGATCTCCTCATCTGAAAGGTCGGCTGGCCGTGGAGGTTGCGACTGTGACTGTGGGCTTCCTGTGGTTGACTACAAATAGAAAAGGTAAAAGGCAGACGCATCACTTCTCACATTCGGGCCTTTTAGTACAGGCCCAATTCAGCCCATATGCAAAACAACCCAATTTCCACCAAGCAGGCAAATCATTGATCTCTTGTTTCCTCTATACAATCCTAGACATCAGTGCTGTATGTAAAAATAATTTTATAGTAATGAACATGAAACTGTACACCTAGCTCTTACTACCAACTATCCTTTTCCATTGAAAGCATTTGAAAGCAGATTCTCAAGTGGTGTAGTTAACTGGGAATTATGGAAGTTGTAATTTATCATGCCTAGAAACTGCCAATTGAAAAAGGTTGTGATCTAAAGCTAAAGAGATAAGAACATACAGTGTACTTTCCTAGCGAAGACGTTATCGCACACCATCATTAAACTATTTATCTATTTTTTCCAAATGAGAACAAAAAATAAATTAACTAGTACATTCATGGCCGATTCAAAAGTTATACTGATTCCAGTCAGGGAAATAAATTGGATGAAAGTGAGGTAGTGGAACCAATGCCTATCTTCTGGTAATGGACCAATAACCCAAAATTCAATCCAGAAGACAAGAGATGCTTTGCCTGTCTAATGAATAAAGTTCTACCTATTCTGAAGGGAGTTGCCCTCATCTTAAAGGTTCAGGAATCATAGCTTTGGAGAGCTTCTGGACTGAAGCATTTTCCCCTAGCTGTGGCTTAGTCTGATAAAGACACTCCCATCACAGTAATTCATGTCCTGGTAACTTCTCATTTAGTTGGTGCAATGCTTTGGGTTGCCCTTAAAGACATTTCAGTTAGAAGAAAATGCTGGTAGAAGATTACTGAGTGAAACTGGGCAATTTGAACATACAATACCTGTGCTTTATGGAGTGGTTTCCATTTAGTTTCTGCTCCCAATTCAGGGTGCTACTTAATCTATAAAGGGCTTTACACTTGGAGCTTAGCTATCAGAAAGGAACACTTTGTCACACCTATTTCTATTTGTACCCTAACATTCTTCCTTGGAGAGGCGGTTCTGGCTGCCCTTCCACACTGTGGTGCAATAAGGCTACTTGGCCTTTTCAGTGGTAGCTCCTTAAGTATGAAATGCCCTCCTCAGCTAGGTATGGGTAAGGCTGTGGGTGGGGCCATCTTCATCTTAACTGCACTGCCAGACAAAAATATTGTTATGCTCACAAGCCTTTTAATAATGTGTAATTCCTGTTGAAGTTTTTAATGTTTCCATATATTTTATTTCCTGTTATTGTTTTAGTTATTCCTTTGTTGATTTTACTTTGTAATGTCATGGGTTTTATAAAAAGTTTAAATATATGCTCTTATTATTTAGCCTATTGCTCTTAGCTATTAATATAACTTTAATTATAAAGTGTCAACATTTCCCAGCCTCCAAATCTATTTGCAATCTTCATGTTCCTCCACGATGTTTAAAAATTATTAATTCTATATATTTGCTATACACGTTTAAGGTCCTGATTCTTGATAAAGCCAGCTTAACAGAATGAGTCAAGCATGGGATGGGAACTAGGAATCCTTCATTCGGCCTCCATCCTGTTTTTATGCAAGCTTCATTAACTTCCTTGCACCGACATAATGTTTCAGTAAAGTTCTGTTTTGATTTACTATTAGTGATGTTTGGTACCAGGTTTTGGCAGATAACACAAATTATGAATATCAGTAATTAAACAACATGTGTGAATTGCTCTAAACATCTGTGAAAACATTAAATTTAGATTACACAAGAGCAGATTTGAAAACAGGTGAATTTGTTATTCTGATAGGGATCACCGACTCCTGAAGCAAGCATATACTCAAAACCATCCTATTCCTTAAATATTTAGGCTGAGTTTGCCCACTCATGCCAGTATTTCCCATCTGGCTTCAGCTGGCTGACCTTGGGAGTCCCAGAAAAAGAAAAAGAAAAAGAGAAAAACAAAACAAAACAAAAATCCCCCAAAGCTTGAAGACTGAAACTCTGGTATTGCAGCGTCAAGTGAAACTTGCTCGGGTGAATTACAACCTCACGCTTCACCGGTGCAAGAAATGATGCAGAGCAGGAGCAAGGGAAAAAAAATCACTTGCCCTTCATGGAGAAAAAGAAAGAACTAGACAGAAAGGGCCATTTCAGGAAATGCTGTTATTTTCTGTTGGGAAAGAGAAAATTCTCTTTATTTACAGGAATGAGACTCATGAAGCAAAGCTACCCCATTCAAGAGGCCTGGCTTCTGTGGCTTAGAAAGACAGGCTTCTGATTTCCACCTCTGGACCCCTCACCTTGTTACTGCCAGCCCCGGACCCTTCCTTCATGATTTCACGGTAGCTGAAGGATGAGATGCTGCTACTGTCTCCCGTCTGAGTCCGACTGGGGGAACTGATATCTGCCAGGACAAGATCCTCGATTCCTGGAAGGCAAAAGAGAATGCTAGAAGTCCATGAACGGAGGAGATGTTTCCAGAGTCCCAGCAGCCCAGGCCTGCAATGACTTATTGGGCCATCTAACCAGGAGAGAAAACACATCTAGATAGCAGCGTTTTCAAGAAAATTAACCCCATTCTAGATACTCAATGGCAAAACTTAGTTTCGCTTTTCAAAAAGGCATCAACCAGCTTCAACTCTTTTTTTTAATAATAATTTTTACTAAAGTTTTAAAAATGCAAACAAACATAACTAATACAATTAAAAAATACAAAAAGGGAGGAGTAAAAAAAAGGAAAGTGTAAAAAGAATATATAAAGAAATGACTTCCCCTTCATGAAGACAAGTACAATTTCAGTAACTTATCACTTTCTCTAACATTTCAACAAAAGATCTCTCCTATTTTATCTATAGACAAATTATAAAGTCTTGTCATTCAGTTCTAATCAGCAAAAGTCCATTCAGAATTACTAGAAATAACAACATCTATGTCTTAGGCCTTAATCAAATAAATCAGTTTCATATTTCCTTTCCTTTTAACATAACTTATTTTCTCTAAAAATGTAATAAAAACAACATATTAAGAAATTTAATCTTTAATTTCTTCAAATAGTATCCTGCATGTTTATTTATCATTTTCTCTCTTTCTCCTCTCAGAAAGTCCTTCACAAATTCAGCATGGATTAGAAATAGCAGCATCTATATTTTAACCCTAATCAAATAAACCAACTTTGTAACCCTGTTTTACTTTTAACACCATAGTTTATCATTTTTTCTACTAATACAATAAAAATATCTTCTTCCCATATCTTATCTATAAGACAAATTTTAAAGCCTCATCACTCTGTCTTGGTTTAGAAAAACTCATTAAAAACTACTAGTTACTAAAACTTCATATACTGTTTATATGATGTAGTGTCTCCAAAACTGGTTTCTTTTCATTTTCTGTTTTCTCCTTATAACATCTTCATAACACATCTCTTTTCTAAGTCCAAGGTAAGAAAATTCTTCAAGTCACTCTTCTGATTTATTATTTGTGTGTCCCTTTTAGTTATTAAGATGTCAGCCAGTTTCATTTGATCAATGTAGCATCCTTTTCCTTATTATTCTTGTAACTTGTCATTAGCAAATATCCTTGAATTTTTCCAAAATTAAAATACTTTCCTCCATTCTGTATTAGTGGATCTCTTCTCCTTTAATTTATAATCTTCAGTTCTCTCTGGTTGGCTCTAATATCCAATCTTCAAAATTTCTTCTTATCATGTTTTTTTTTCTACTCCACAACATTTTCTCATGGGAAAATTTCTTATACTTAGATTCAAAATCTTCATGTGTTTTAGATAGGATTTTGAATAAGCCGCAGAAAAGAGTGTTATAATTAATTTCAAAATCTTATTTCCAATCCATCTGGCTTCTTAGTCTGTTTATAAATGTCCACAGTCAATATTCTAATAATCTTTTGCTGTTTATTTCAGAACATATTTTTTAAAAATTCTTAAATTTACATGAAACCTCTTTCACAAAGGATTGAAGATATGTGATGAAACGTATTGTTCTGAAGGTTCTTAACATTCTAAAAAACATTTCCTGAAGTGATTAAGAAAGGAAATGGGCAAACCCAGTGTTCGTCTGAATGCTCTGTACTGCAAATTTGACTCTTCTTTGGCTCCCAGAGCTCAGAAACCCGCTGGAGACCACTGTTTTATGGTCTTCTTGCAAGAGATCCTCTGTGTGGAGTGCTTATAGGTGATCCCAGGTCCTTCCCTTTGTTCAGAGAGGAATTCTGAGGCACTGATTCCCCCAAGTCCTTGTTCTGCTGTGGTTTTTTTGTTTTGTAATGGAGCCATCTTCAATGGGCCATTGCTTCTTCAGAGGTCAACTACCTTCAACTCTGATTAAATTGTCATCATGGCTTTTTCATTTTTCCAGGCTTTGAAACAAAACTAGCAGAATAGTTTGTGGACATGTAAGAAATATGATTCTGTTTTTTCACACAGTCAACTTTATAGCAAATGCTCTGAAAAAGATGTAGGCAGAAGCAATGAGAGATTGCCCATTTTTAGAAGGATTTGCTTCAGCAATTGCATTTAAATTCCTCTCTTCTAATCACTTTGACCATAACTCTGATCTCACCTGATGTCACATCTTCCTCAGAGAATTAACAAACTAACCTTGAGCATAGCAAATCCTCACTCTGCAGTGTCAGTTATCACATGTGGCCTAGAAACAGTGAGAGTCTTCTAGACCAAACAAGGAATATGCACAATCCTGACTAGGAGGTTGTAATAGTATGTGGGAACCACTTTGGGAGACAGAATGGAGAGCCACAGACTGAACAACTGGCATATAAAAGATGTCTCTGCCTACAGAAGTGGAGGATGGCTTTGAGAAGAATTTCAGAAGGGCCTTCCCTAGCTTTCCAAACAGTAAAAAGAAAGGAGGGGAGAAACACTTCCAGTCTTACAAGATTCTGTTAATGTAATCTTACAATAAAGACAAAGCTAGTACTTCTGGATGTGCTTCTTGGGTGGACTACCTTGCAGGACTAACACAGGCAAAGGGTAAGAACAGCTTTTGGGCCTTATGCTTCCACAACCCCCATAAAGTCTTCAGACTCCCTCTACTGGCCTAAATCACAGTTCATACAAGCCAGGATGCTGTTTTCTTAAATATGTCATGCAGGAATTTGTGGGCACAGGTTAGCATTAATGGTGCTTAAGACTAGCATTAAGATAGCTTGTGTCTAATGCAAAGGTTGCTAAAGAGAGTTGTGAATGGAGGAAAAGCATAGAGAAGTAACTCAGCCCAAAACCTTCAGAAGCTTTGACTCCAAGGTCCAAATTACTTTTTGTATGAACACGGCACATCTTTTGTTCCCAGTCTCAGTTTGTGTATGTGTTGAATGTTCTACTTTAAAACTTTCGATTTACACTTATTTTTTTTTAAAGTAAAGTAAAATAAAGTGTAAAGTAAAATATAAAGTAATAATAAAAAAACAAAACAAACCAGGCAGTCTCATTTGGAATCTTTATATTTTTTTAAAAAAATTGTTACTCTGGTACTTCTAGATGAGCAGATCAACAAAAAATATTTCAGGAGAGATGATCATGTAGCATCATATGATGTACTATCATACAGGGATGATGTGCATAAGGAAATGAATGAGATTATTTTTAAATGAGGAATCCTTAATGTACTAATGTGTTACAGAATAGAATAGAATAGAATAGAATAGAATAGAATAGAATAGAATAGAATAGAATAGAATAGAATAGAGCTGGAAGGGACCTTGGAGGTCTTCTAGTCCAACCCCCTGCTCAAGGAGGAGAACCTATATCATCTCAGACAGATGAATGTCTAGTCTCTTCTTAAAAATCTCCAGTAATGGAGCGCCCACGATTTCTGGGGATAAGCTGTTCCACTGGTTGATTGTCCTCACTGTCAGGAAGTTTCTCCTTAATTCCAGGTTGCTTCTCTCTTTGGTCAATTTACAATCATGATCTGAATATAGTTAAAGCCAACCTAACATGCATCTAGTTTAGCCCACCTTCTTTTGAAAATGACTAGAATCCAAAAGCAATTTCCATTCAGTTATGGGGGGAGAGGGGGGCTAGATATTTTTGAACTACCTGCCTCTGGACTTCAGAATAAACTCTGATTTAGAGTTTGCTGACGTATGAGACAACAAACCACAGAATTCTCATAATTGATAATTCTGGAGGTTATGCTCCAATATATTCAGAGGATATCAAGAGCTCTTAGATGGGAATTGAGCCTCGCTCATGATTAAATTTAGGTGCTGCTCCTCAACTGGGGAAGTTGTGAGGAGAAATTCAATAGCTTCCATTTTTCTTTTAGACTAACTACGGTTGTCACATTGCCCGAAATGGGCAATTTGTGATTAATCTTATGTAGGATTTGCTTGAAAGCAGGAAGAATCAATCCATAGGTTGAGAAACCAAAGTTAAGCGTAGCTCATTATTCAAGTAAATACAAAAGCAGAGAGGAGTAAATGGACCCAGATGGGATATTAAATTTATTCTGAGGTCCAAGCACAGCCATTAGCACCTCTTCAGCATAAAATAACAAAGCAATAAGCATGCTACTAACAGTCTGGTGTCTTCAGGCTCCTCCCATTACCAACAGCATTTTCAATCCATTGACAAGTGGGGTAGCTTGGGAGTGTCCAATGGATACCATTGAAATTTGAGGAGATGTTGCATGCTCTTTCATAAAACAACTGCTGAGGGAGGGAGGCAGTTGTGCATTCACAAAGAAACTGCTAGTGTACATAGCTCATCACAAGACACAACTGACCAGACAGCAAACAAGTGAGATTTACTACTTCCTTTCTCCTCTCAGAATGTTTATTTGTTAACTAGATTTACATCTTGCCTTTCATTCAGGAGCTAAAGGCAGCTCCGGAATAGCACTTCCTCTTCCTATTTTTCACCAGAATAGCAGTCTGTGAGGTTCACTAGTCTAAGAGAGAATGGGTGGCCCAAAATCACCCAGTTATCATCCGTGGTGGTGGAGAGTAGTATAGAACCCAGACTCCATGCTCCTAGTTCAACCCTTTCACTATTGTCTCACATGGCCTCTCTATTCTTGACTTGACAGCCCCCAGTTTAGCTTTGTCTGGCTAGGTCACGGGTCGGCAACCCGCGGCTCCGGAGCCTCATGTGGCTCTTTGAGCCTTCTCCTGCAGCTCCCAGCCTCCTCTGCCATTTGCAGAGAGAGAGACAGAGAGAGGCACCTGCGCTTCCCTTCTCTCTCTCTCTCTCCCTCTCTCTCTTTCTCTCTGTATGTGTGTGTGTGAAAGAGAATAGTCTTACGCTGTTCTCCGATGAGCTGACAAGCTTATTGGATGGGGCTCCTCCCTTTGATGCATCTCTGCAGGAAGCAGGAAGGGCAGGAGAGAGCCAGCCCAATAAGAATGTGTGTCAGCTTGTTGGAGAAGAGCCTGAAGCCAGCTTGCCAGGTGAGC